CCCCCCATTACCCGCTATTACCCCCCTCGATACACCCCCAACCAGGACCCACTCGCCCCGCTCTCCTCAGGGGTCTCATCCCTCCTCTCCCACCCCCCAAGACCCCCCTCGACCCCCCAAAAACCGCCTCCCCCCGGCCACGCCGCCCCTCACCCTGCCCGGGCAGCCACGGGCTCGCCGCCCTCCACCGAGCATGCGCGGGGAGCAACGCACCCTTCCCCGGGGCGACGCCGCTGCCGCCATGTTCGTTAAGGGCAGCGGGACTTGCCCATGAGCCGCCATCTTTGTGGTTGGCACTGCCCGGCCCTGCGGGACGCCGGCGGCGCCATCTTTGAGACGGGCAGCGCCCGCTTCTCGGCACCGGGCGCGGGGGGATGTGGGGTGTTTTTTTTGGGGGGGGGGCGGTCACTCAACCCGTCATTTAACACTCCCATGGCTTCCTGGGAGAACTCCCTCAGAGTCCTTTACAGCCCTCCAGCCTCCTATCCCACTTCAGAGTGGGAGGGTCATGCGTGGGCACCCCCCCACTGAGAAATCTGGGGGGACAGTGAGTTTTTTGGGGTGCTCGCCCCCGCTCCGAAAAGAGCGTGTCTCCCAAAAAGCATGCTTGCTAAGTGCAAAACACCAAGTCCCCCCCCACCTCCACTCGGGCTTTGCACCCCCTTTCCCACGGCGGGGTCCTGAGTGGGTTCCAACCTCCCCACGCGCCTCATCCATCACATTTTTGGGGATGGATTAGAGGGCGGGGGTGCGGCACAAGCGGGACACTCTCCCCCCCAGCCCCAAAAGCGGGAGGGTACAGGCAGAACCTGCCCACCACCCACCCCCAGTGTGCACCCACATCCCGCTCTGCCTCCATCACCTGACGCCGCACGCGTCCCTCCATCCCATTGGCAGAACCGGGAGGTTTTTCCTTCCTCCCCCTTTTTTCTCCCAGCTCCTTGGATATCTATTTTTCCCTTTTTTTTTTTTTTTTTTTTTCTCCCCTCTTCTCTCCCTCCTCTGGAGGGTGTTTGCTATTTCCGAGCTGGCTGGGAGGATCCCAGTCGCATCAGCCGCAGGCAGAGACGCGGCAGCGCCGGGTACCACCGCGATCCCACCGGCATCCTCCGTCCTTCCCGCCTGGATCAGCCCCGCCGGGGCTCCCTGTCCTGCCGCCCCTTCCCTCTTCCCACCCTGCCGCTCCACCGGTATCCCACCGCTTCCCGGCAGCCCCCCGGCACGGCCAGGTAAGGCCCTCACCGGCACCGGGACACCCGGAGCAGCCGCCAAATCCCGGTGGCGTCGGGACAACATCCCAATGGCACCGCCGAGGGATGCCCGGGGGGGCACAGGGATATGGGGGGGAGGTGGGATATGGGGACATAGAGGGCTCGCTGAGGGCTTTTTGAGGGGCGCGGGGTGCTGGGGACACGGGGACGCGGTGACACGATCCGGCTGGAGCAATCCCAGTGCAGAATTTCCTGCGCCACCGGCGGGCACGGGAGTGGGGCAGCGAGGTGGCACCTTGTCCCCAGCGCGGTGACCTTCTGCTGTGCCCGAGGGTTCTGGGAGGGGGGGAGAATTTGTTGGGTGGCACCCTGCTTGGGGTGGCTGGGGGGTGTCGAGTGGGGCTGGGGGTGACCCCCGGCTCTGCGCAGATTGGAGGGGGGACACACTGGGTGGTCGTGGGTGGCCGTGGGTGGCCGAGTGACAGGGATGAGCCTGGCGTGGGTGGCCGTGGGCACGCGAAGAGCGTGGGGAGGGGGGCTCTGGGTACATCGGGCACAGCTACCCCCGCACAAATCCGAGGGTACCGGGGCGCAGGGTGGGAGGCACACCCCCCCCCCCCGAGCATCACCCCCTCCCCGCGTCACGGGTGTCACCGCGTGTCCCCCCACCCCCAGAGCGTCTCCCGGGGGGCGCAGCGAAGGGGGGGAAACTGAGGCACGGGCCAGGGCGAAAAGGCGGATCCAGCTTTTCCAGTGCCCGCGAGTCCAACCCTCCCCTCTCTCCCAGCACTCCCTCGGCTCCCCTTGTTTTTCTTTCCCCACCCCGGGTGTTGAGCAAACCCCGAAACACCCGCTGGCGTCGCGCCGGGGCCCCGCGGCACCCGGGGGAGCGGCCGGGGCCCCCGCACCCGACCGGGCTTGTTCCCCGGCGTCCCGCTGCCTGCTCCTGCCTGCGCGCTGCCTATTCCTGGCTGCTGGCCGCTTTTCCACCCCCCCGGTGCCATCTGCTCCTCCGCGGGGGGAGCGGCCCCGGCAGCTGCCGACGTGGGCAGCTCGGGGGGCTGCTCGGCACCCCCCCAAGGCCCGCGCCGTGCCCGCAGGAGCTCAGCCCCTCCGGCCATGGAGCTGCTCTCCACCCCCAAGAACATCGAGATCAACAACATCACCTGCGACTCCTTCCGCATCTCCTGGGCCATGGAGAAGGGGGACCTGGAGAGGGTCACCCACTACTTCATCGACCTCAACAAGAAGGAGAACAAGAATTCCAACAAGTTCAAGCACCGGGTGAGCCCGCGGGAGTGGGTGGGAGGGGGATGTGGGACCCCCTGTCCGAGGTGAGGAGATGGGGTTGGTGAGAGGGAACTGGCTTTTAACCCACTCCCACGCTGATTTGGGTCATTCCCCACTCTGGACACGCTGGTGGAGGGCACTGGGATGGGGATCAGGCGGTGACGGACCCCCCCCTCAAGCCCCCGCGGGGGAGCAGAGCCACAAACCTCTCCCACTCCCACTCCCCGTGCTGCGAGTCACTAATTCGGGGCCGTTTTTAGCAGCGCCGTTGCCACGGTGATGCTATTTAATGTTTAACATTATTTTTTTTTTCTCTCCTCCCCAATAATAAAGGGTTGGGGGGGTGGGATATTCCCCCCCCCTCCATCTCCCGACTTCAGCATCCGCCGTTGCCACAGAAACGGCTCTGCACTGCGGAGCTGCTCCGTGGCCTATTGACACCGCGAGATGCCACCGGGAGCGGGGGGTGTCCCCCAGACCCCCGCCCTCTGTGGGGACCCTGTGCCCCCATCGCTGTCTGGGGACCGGGAGGGGGGCACAGAGCTGGGGGGGTGGGGGGGTGTGCAGCAGGAGAAGTGTCCCCGCCGTGCTTTGGGTGCCCCGAGGTGGATGTTTTGGGGGGAATCATTGCCTGGCACCATCCCCTGGGCGCGGGGCGGGGGTGCGGGGGATTTGGGGCGGTGGGATTGCTGTCCCGCCTGACCCTCCCCCCTCCCCTGGGCACAGGATGTCCCCACCAAGCTGGTGGCCAAGGCGGTGCCGCTGCCCATGACGGTGCGGGGGCACTGGTTCCTGAGCCCCCGCACCGAGTACAGCGTGGCCGTGCAAACGGCCGTCAAACAGAGCGATGGGGAGTACCTGGTGTCCGGCTGGAGCGAAACCGTGGAGTTCTGCACCGGCGGTGAGCGGGACACGGGCCGGGAGGGGAGGATGGGGATCATCCTGGGAGCCAGGAGGAGAATGGGGACAGTGCTGGGAGGAGGAGGAGGAGGAGGAGGAGGAGGAGGAAACAGGCAATGCCCAGAGCTGGGAGGAGGATGGGGGCCACCTGGGAGCCAGGAGGATGGGGGCGATCCCAGGAGCCGGGAGGGAGGATGGGGGCGATCCCAGGAGCCGGGAGGGAGGATGGGGGTGATCCCAGGAGCCGGGAGGGAGGATGGGGGCGATCCCAGGAGCCGGGAGCTGGGAGGAGAATGGGGACAATTCTGGGAGCCAGGAGCCAGGAGGGAGGACAGGGGTGGCTCAGAATTGGGAAGATGGGGAGGACAGGGATGACACTGGGAGCTGGGAGAAGTGAGGGGGCAATGCTGGGAGCGAGGAGGGGATTAATCCCTGGAGTTGGGAGCCAGGACAGAGGATGGAGGCCTTCCCAGGAACTGGGAGGTGGGAGGAGAACAAGGTCAACGCTGGGGGTCAGGAGCTTAGAGGGAGGACAGGGACGATCCTGGGAGCTGGGAGCAGAATGGGGTCAATACTGGGAGCCTGGAGCTGGGGAAGAGGCTGGGGTTGATGCTGGGAGCTGGGAGGCAGGAGGAGGACGGGGGCAATGCCGGGATGCAGGAGCCCGGAGGAGGACGGGGGCGATGCCGGGAGCTGGCACAAGCCGGGCCGGTTGGAGCGGCAGCTGATGAGTGGGAGGCAGGAGGTGCGGGGAGCTGCGGGCAGGGAAGGGCTGCCGGAGGGGGATGGAGACGCCCTGATGTCCCCATCCCTGCCCCCCCAGACTATGCCAAGGAGCACCTGGCCCAGCTGCAGGAGAAGGCAGAGCTGATCGCCGGCCGCATGCTGCGCTTCTCCGTCTTCTACCGCAACCAGCACAAGGAGTATTTCCAGCACGTCAGGTACCCCCAGCCCCCATTCCCCTCTCCCCCCACCACTCCCAGGGCGCACCCCCTGACCCTGCCTGTGCCTGTCTGTGTGTCCCTCCTCCTCCTCCTGCTCCTCGCGCCAGGATGCACTGCGGGAACGTGATGAAGCCGTCTCTGAAGGACAACAGCGGGAGCCACGGCTCCCCCACCAGCGGGATGCTGCACGGCATCTTCTTCAGCTGCAACACCGAGTTCAACACCGGGCAGCCCCCCCAGGACTCGCCCTACGGCCGGTACCGCTTCCAAATCCCGGCCCAGCGCCTCTTCAACCCCAACACCAACCTCTACTTCGCGGACTTCTACTGCATGTACACCGCCTACCACTACGTCGTGCTGGTCCTGGCGCCCAAGGGCTCCTCCGGGGATCTCTTCTGCCGGGAGCGCCTCCCCCAGCTGGACATTTCCTCCAACAAGTTCCTGACGTGCTGCGTGGAGGAGGGCGAGCTGGTGTACCGCCACGCCCAGGACAGCATCCTGGAGGTCATTTACACGGAGCCCGTGGACCTCGCCCTGGGCGTGCTGGGGGAGATCAGCGGCCACCAGCTCATGAGCCTGTCCACCGCCAACGCCAAAAAGGACCCCAGCTGCAAGACGTGCAACATCAGCGTGGGGCGCTAAGGGCGGGAGGAGGAGGAGGAGGAGGGCAGGGCCGGGCAGGGGGACGGGCGCCCGCCCCGGGGGCTTCTCCCACGGACACTGGTGGGCGGAGGGCGCGGGTGGGCGCGGGGGAGCCGCGTGGGGCCCCCCCGAGGAAGGAGCCGGCGGGATGCTCGCCCGGCAGGGAGGCGGAGCCCACCAGGCCGCTCTGCGCCCCGAGGGAAGAAGCCTTCATCTCCTGGACTGGCCGACCGGCATCATCCTCGCTGGCGTGAGCCCCGCGCTCTGCCCTTCTCCGCGCAGCCGCTGCGGGACCCCCTTCCCCTCCGGTGTCCCCTGCATCCCCCCCCACCCAAGGTTTGTGCAGTTCCCGGGGAGCCCCGGTCCTGCCAACCGGGACTGGGGCTCCCTGGCCACCCCAGGGGGGTTCAGTGGAGAGGCTGGAAGCACCCCCGGTTTTTTGGACTGCTCCTGGGGACAGCGGGGTGCTCAGACAGGGACCCCCCCGCTCCAGGGGGGACACCGCAGCGGTGCGGGGGACCCCTTGTGCTGTCCCTCCCTGCTCTGTGCTGCCCAAACCGCGGCCCCGGAGGCAGCCGGAGGATCTGGGGAATAGGGGAGTGGAGCTGAGCCCCCCCAACCCCGTGTCCCGTCCCCCCCCAAACCCCGCCGCCCCCCGCATGAGCCGTCGGCAGCATGGCGCTTGCGTGCGGCCCCCCCCGCGGCGCCCACCCTTCCCCC